GTGCGTGTGTGTGTGTGTGTGTGTGTGTGTTTGTGTGTGTGTGTGTGTATGTGTGTATGTGTGTGTGTGTGAGTCTGTATGTGTGTGTGTGTGTGTGCGAGGGGGGTTGGGGTGGGTAGAGAATGTTGTCCTTTTTTTCGTCCGTCATTCGGTTAATTAATTGTTCATTTGTTGTTTTGTTTTTTTGTCCGACTCTTTTTTTTCTGATTTTTTCCCCTTCTACTGTCCGATGTTAATAAGCATCAGCCAAATACAGATATTATGTGCTCAAAATGGTAGATCCGATATTTTTTCCCCTTTGAATTTCTAAAAAACAAAAAAAAATCCATATATGAATCCATATTATAGAGAATGTTGTCCTTTTTTTCGTCCGTCATTCGGTTAATTAATTGTTCATTTGTTGTTTTGTTTTTTTGTCCGACTCTTTTTTTTCTGATTTTTTCCCCTTCTACTGTCCGATGTTAATAAGCATCAGCCAAATACAGATATTATGTGCTCAAAATGGTAGATCCGATATTTTTTCCCCTTTGAATTTCTAAAAAACAAAAAAAAATCCATATATGAATCCATATTATAGAGAATGTTGTCCTTTTTTTCGTCCGTCATTCGGTTAATTAATTGTTCATTTGTTGTTTTGTTTTTTTGTCCGACTCTTTTTATTCGATTTTTTTCCTTCTACCAGTCAGACGTTAGCAAGCATCAGCCAAGTACAAATATTATGTGCTCAAAATGGTAGATCCGAGATTTTTTTTTCAATTTTTTTTTTTTGCCTTTGAATTTAAAAAAAAAAAAGAATAAATCCATATATGAATCAGTGGGTGCACAAAACTGGGCGGCGGGTGGTGTTTATAGCCTACCAGAAGTAACTATGGTCCTTTTTCGACGGTCTCCTCTAGAGCAGTGCTTGTCTACCTTTTTTACAGCCAGCGCCCAATTTTCCCAACTAGAATTTTCATTCCGCCCACCTCCATGTATTTCCCAGCAGGCTGTTGAATAATACACCTTTTACTACACAGGTGATCGCCACCGCCCATCAGAGTTACTTTTTAGTTTTTTAAAGTTTTAGTAAGCGTTTTTATGGCACTTGCAACACAACAATGTCATATAACCAAAGATTAGAAAAGTTTCAAGAGAGTATGTAACAAGCACAAAATAGAAGGAGGAGAGATAAGAACGATAGATGTTTGATAGGAAAGGAGGAGTAAACCAAACAAGAACACCCGTCAAACACCCGCTAAAATCAATTTGTTGTGTCTCCTTCTTCTTATCCTCGAGAAAAATTCTCCCCACACAATAATCGAACTCGGGTCTTTTGTGTGCGAAGGAGAAACGCCTAACTGGAGACCGACCAACAGTGTCTTGAAACCACCCACGAATGTCAACGGACGGATCTAGGTGGCGAGATGAGTCCTTACAATGCTTCAAAAGGTCTGGGAATCTTAAAAGAAAAAAAAAGTGGGCTTTCAATGTCCGGGTATTCAAAAGCAACCCGATATCTAGCAGAGACCTGAATATTGGCAGAGGCTGCTAAGAGAGATCTCCAACTTTCATCAATAGATGCTGGGAAATGTTCTTGGGCTTGGGATCATTTGGCTCTGCTACCACAAAGGGCAAATGAAAGAAAGGTGGGAAAGGAAATGACACAGAGGGCGATGGTGATGGAGCGGGCTCTTGTTAAGAAAAATCGATGACAAGTATAATCATGAAAACACTGCGATGGAATCCATGGGGTCACTGGAATAGAGGAAGGCCCAAAAAGAACATGGCAGAGGAAGTTAGAGGAGGATGGTAGTAAACATGAGTAAAATGTGAACGCTAATGGACAACGATAAAAAGGAGAGATATCTTTGGAGAGGAGTGGTTGGTGACCTTTGTTCCATAGGGAAGCAACAGGCAAGATAGATAGATAGATAGATAGATAGATAGATAGATAGATAGATAGATAGATAGA